GGAGGAAGCGGCGGTGGTGGTGGTTAGGGAGAGGGTGGTGAAGCTTGAGGAGAGGGTGGGGAGGGGAGGCCCAAGGGTAGGTGGGGAGAGGAGAGTCGCTGCACCATAGCCGACGAAGGGTCCGGCGGCCTATTATCGAATTAGCAACAAATCCAAAGAAATGGAGGAATAATTAACAAGACTCACTTCCATAATCCTCCATTGCCGGCTCTCATCCTTCATCGGTCCCGGCGAATATGCCTGCACACTCTTCATCCCGAGATGATCCAATGCACAGTCACTCTCCGCATTCGTCAACCCCCACAACCCCGTCTTAAACTTGCCCTCGGCGGGGCTTCCCGCAGGCAACAAATCTAACTTCCACTCCTTGCTCTCTGTATATAGGTAACTATCTGCCCTGATACTATCCCCCTTCCTCCTCCCTCCCCAATGCTCCAACATAGTCCCCGTGAGCCTATTTTTTATATACCATTTTGGCTGCCCCACTCTATCGTCCGCAAGGATGAAACACCAATGCAGGCCCCAGAATTCCTTCTTCTCCCCAATGCCTTCCCATTTCGGGAGTTTTATGCAGGCAGGTGGGTAGTTTATGTCTGTGTGGTGGAGGAAGGCACCAGATTTGTAGTTGACGAGAAATACCCAGGAGCCGATAGGAGGGGACATGCTGGGTATAGGGGGGATGATGAAGTTCCATTGTTGGTGGTTGACACCAGTTTTTGCACAAAGTTTTACTTTGGTGCCATTTGTAGGCTTACCCCAGTCGAGGTCGAGGACGATGGAGGGGTTGAGGAGATTATGGATGGAAAAGCATTCCCTGTACGTAGATCATCAAATTAGCCTATTGCTGGCTGAAACGAAGTGAAATTAGTGATAGTTATGTGTACTCACGAAGTGGAATGCGACCGTTTCAAGATCCATCTCTGACTCCTAATCCTATCACTGATACTACCCTCTGTCAACTGCATCCCATCCGCTCCATTAACCACACTCCCCAGTACTTCCTCTCTCCTCACAACCTCCATACTATTGCTAACACTACTCCTGACACTACTCCTCCTACTACTCCTCGCACTAGCCATACTCCTCACCCTCGGTCTCGCACACACTCCCTTCTCCTCCACTGCTCCACCCATGCCGCTAGCACCACGTAAACTCCCCAACATCGTTCCCCTCGACCCAATCACATCCAGCACCACCCCGCGGTTATTCACATTTGAGAATATATAACCTCCATGAATATCATCCCACTCGACCCACCAGATCTGGTGACCTAATGCCTCGAGGTCGGTGCTTTCCTGCTGCCACCCAACAATGTCACTGTGTTCGCCGATTTCGTATTCGAAGGGCGGGAGGAAATGGAGGACGGTGCCGCTTGCTTTGTTGCGGATAAGGTAGGCGCCGGAGAGGATCCGTGCGGAGGGTGGGTGTTCCTCAGCTGGGGCAGAGGGTGTAGATCTAGAGGTAGTGGTTGTGAGGATAGAGGAGGGGGGTTCGATGTGCCTGTGGGGGTTAGAGAGTGTTTGACCCATCTCAAATCTGTCCCTGGTATCACAATTGGGAAGAAGGATAGAAGGCCAATGCTCGTGTAAATAAAGGATATAGCCGTGCGTGCGTGTGCCTATACGTAATGCGTCTGCGGTCGTAACAAAGCCGTAAGATATAAGAAGTAGGATGCCCCGAGCTAACTCGATCAATTGCAAGAAGGATGAGCAAAGTAGGAGAGGAATCACCACGGACAATTGGGACTCCTACCGCTGCCAGCTTCAAGCAATTTCGTTCGACGAGGAGAACAGGTAGGTAATTATATCCCACTCCCATCCACAGAGGCGGGAAGATATCCCCCCGCTCCCAATCCGCCCCCACCCAGCAAGAGAAGGAGTTTGACAATTCCACCTCTCTCTCTGCTGCAATTTTTCCTTCCCAGCCAGTAGAGTACGCAAAGATACTACCACGCATGAAGCAAGAGAACCTCGTTCCGTCTGCTTCTCTCCACACTCATCAACCCATCGATGCCAGTTGCACAGCACTGCACAAGTACGTCCCACCCACCTTGCTACCTGCCGCAGACCAATGGGCATCTCTCAGCTAATCACCTCCCGCAGCTGATAAACAACCCGGAACCAGCTCAAACAGGTATCTACTGCAGACATCTGCAGCAGCTGGCGATTTCATAGGTATATGCTTTTCCCCAACCCACCCTCTTATCGAGATAGGAGGGGAAGTTGGGTAATTCGGTTTGAGCTACCAGTAGAGTACTCCAAGTCAGAGAGACCAAGTAAGGCTCCCGCCTATACATACAGTAGAGAAGTAAACGTTGGGTATAGCAAAGTTTTTCCTCCAAACGTCGACATATTGAACATATTGATTGCTCTCTGTGGCAAGCAAGATTCCTGGTTAGTACGGAAAATGAAGGAACCCCACGCATGCAGGGGTTTTTGAGTCAGGCTCGCACCATTTGAGTTGATTGGCTGGCGATGTGTTGTCCAGGGAAGCAAAGCCGTCCATACCTCGTTCACATGTCAACAACGGCGGAAGGGGTTCGTCTAATTAATCCGTACGAGACGACAGAAGACGAGTTGCGCAGCTCGCTAGGCAGCTACTAACCCGGCTGTAGCTGTCTGTACATGTCATGCATAGATATTAAAATATTGCGAGAATTACAAACATCTAGAGTAACCAAGGGAAAAAATAAAATAAAATAATAATGCGTGCAATTTACTCTGTGAGAGTATTAGTTTGCAGAGGTTACCTGAAGGCCGATAAACCTTGCTTTTCTATGCTGACCTGGTTGGACCATCCTAATCTGCTTCCCAATCCCACACCCACACTCGACCTCAAACAAACAAAAGTGAGAGAACAAGAATATGTTATTATTAAATGGGTATTGTAGATGGATAATAAAGAAAAGTCAGTAAAATCGATAAAAGACAAGGCTGCAAGCTGCAGACCGCAAAAGCCAGGAAACAACTTCATATAAGGTAATCACGCGAGCACCAGTGCAGGCAATCAAAGCAACCTCATGCAATTGCATTGCTTCCCCCGAGCCACCACCCATTGCCTGCTATCTATTCAGCAATTGCAAGATGGAACGCCCATTTCTATTCGCTCCCGCCCCACCGCCCCCACAGGAACATGTGAGCCTCGCCTCCGCCGCCTTGCCTGATGATGTTCATGATCAACCTCTCCGGCAACGTCAAGTGCAATTGCCATTACGACTAGCGAGAGTGGGAGTGGAAGTGGGATATAGTTGAATAATAATAAAGGTGATGGGGCGAGCGTGATTCGGAGTTGGAACTTGATGGAAGTGAATGCATGCGGGATTGGGAAGAAAGGGATGATCCCTGTCCACCGTGGTGGTGTTGCTGGCGCTGTTGTTGCCGTGGCAGAGGCAGAGGACATTGTTTAATCCGTCCAATGTGAAACCTTCGGGTGGAAAAAGAAAACAGAAACAACCAAGAAAGAATAATTTCTGAGTAAGGCAAAAAAAAAAGGTTAAGTTCTTGTTGGTGATGCCTGCAATTGGGTTGTTCCTGAGCCTGAGTGAGAAAGTCGCAGGAATCGTAAGGGAGAAAAGCCCTCCGCGCTGGACCCGTAGTTAAAAGAGAGGAAAATTGATTTCCAAGTGTGTACACGCCTACAGCATTTTCGCTTGAATTACCTTAGCAAAAAATTGATTTTCGGCCCTTGAGTGGAGCCAGGGGAGCATTGGAGGGAAGGGTGTTGCCAATGGGAAGGCTGCTACGGCTCGGGAGATTGGCCAGTATTAATTCCCATGCCACATGCGCTCCAGAACCTGCTTGACAAAAGAGCATCTTTTTGTTCCCCAATGGATCGCCACATCAAGTTTTGGGGCCTCTTGTAGCAGTCACCTGATTCCTTTCAGCCACTGTAAGTGTGAGTGACCACCTCCTGTATCGGAATGCACTGCAAGGGAGATCTGAGAATTTTAGAGTACGACGAGGTAGAACAAGATGAGCACAATGTCTCGCCTGAATGTTTCCTCATAGGGCGACTCAATCACATCACCAGGTATCTCTCATAGGCCAATTGTGGAGGTAAACAGCTACATACATACCCCACATTCCCTTGCACAGTCAACCTGATGGGGTACCTATGGGGTCCTACGGATAGGGTATCCAATGTGGGCAAGTACCGCTTGATGCAGGGTCTCACGTACCGGTACAACAAAAATAACGGGATCCTCTCAGGTACCTTGAGCAGGTAGCTTTCTTTTTTTCTTCCTCCACAAAGTCAGTCCGGTTTAGAAGTGGAGAAAAGCTCATTCGGCTTGTTTGTGACGTACAAGCGATCAAAAAGGCACCCGATTATCCGAACCGTCCAACAAATGATGGGGAGTATCACGATGATGATCCAAAGTAGATTCGCATTCTGACCGATTGTTGAAGAAAGAAGAAATAAGTTAACAGATGAAAGCTATTTTGGTAGCCTCTGCAGTCCCTGAGGCTCATCTGTATCAAATAAATTTTATGATCTGCGGACCTTGAGTATAAGGCTCCCCCGAAAGGGTAGCAGTACAGTAGAGATAACTCAACCCCAGCGTGGGAACCAGGTCATTCGTGGGAGCTCTGGAGGGCGTCTACTTACCTAGGACAAGATTTGCACTATAAATTATGATGAAAGGGACAGCCAGACTAGAAGGCAAGCATAGCTGATCATTAGCTGATCATTTATATATTCCCGCTCAAATGACTCTCCGCCCCCCATCCTTGGTCACGCGTGAGGCACGATTGATATCTAAGGGAAAAGAAGCAATAAGGCAACGAACAAGATTAAGCAACTTGCCGTGTGCCATGCTCCATTGCATCATGCCATGTTGCTATGGTTGGAACTGCAAGAGTATTGGTGAGCCGGAAAAGATGAATATTGCTTTTCTGGATTGCCGATGCTGTAAGGTAGGGTTGTGGGTGGGGGGTTGAAGTTGTGAGTGAGAGAAAGGTGAGGATTAAATATAAGGATCTTATAGCAATGATTTCAAAGACGCCCGGTTGGCTCAGTCGGTAGAGCGTGTGACTCTTAGAGTGCCTAAGCACTTAAGACATCTCAAGGTCGCGAGTTCGAGCCTCGCATTGGGCTTTAGTTTTTTAATTTTGCTTACACGTCCACATATTTTTGCACACGTAATCTTGGCGCGTATGCCTTTTTTGACGACACTTCCAACAGTTACCTAACACCGATCGCGCACTTTATTTTTGGGAAGAGGGGTATACCTGAATCGCTAAAGTTATTGGTACTACACTGACATAGTCAAATCACCAGTTCCTACCACGTTCATCCCCGTACACTCATCACACCACCATGAGCGCCTTCCGCCTTCCTACCCTCCCCCGGCTCATCCTCTCCTCCGCCCCCACCCTCCACCGCACAGTCCACCACTCTCTCCCCCTTCCCCCTGTCCCTACCGTCACTACCGCCATCCCCAACTCTGCCACTTTCCTCAAACTCATCGGCCGAGGAGCATCTGTACACGCCACCAAGCTAGCATCCTGGGAGTCGCTATTCAAGAGCACGAGTGCACAGTTGAAAGAGGCGGGGGTGGAGCCAGCGAGGTTGAGGAGGTATATTATTTCGCAGAGGGAGAGGTATAGAGTTGCGGGGGGGAAGGTAGAGGTTAAGGAGGTGAAGAGGGGGGTGAAGAAGGATGGAGGGGAGAGGAGGAGGAAGATGATTAGGGCGGTGAGGGGGACGGAGGAGTATAGGGAGAAGAGGAGGCAAGAGGAGAAGGAGACGGAGGCAGGGTTGGCGGTGTAAGGGAGCTGTTGGTAGTAGAAGGGTGGATATTTCTCGACTACGAGCACTCGGATTTCACGTACACACCACACGCGTTATCGAGCCTGGCTTGATGAAGTACCTTTCTACCAGGGTTGACTATGGCGAATAAGGGTTGCCGAATAGGGGACAGAATAGGGGAATGGTTATGTACTGTACATACAAAATGCATTTATCCACGGCACCTACGATCACCCTTACAGTGTGCACAATTACCTGGGGCGGTGATTAGGCAGAGCAGCAACCAGAAGACCAATGAAGACTAAGGTGATGAGAACAGAGGGAGAGAAGATAAGGGCCTATAGATAGCTTGGGGGTTGAGCGTTAATTGAGTAGGTGTGCATAGGGAAGCTGCGAGATACACGTTCTTTTTGGTGCTTTTTGCTTTTGGTTTGATCTATGATTGAGGTGTTTAGTGTACTGAGAGTATCTGTCATCGAGATGATTGATAGATCTATTCTACTCGCCTTCTTGGTCACTTTTAGTGAAGCATACTGACAAGTAGGTTGACGGAACATTCAAGGTCCACCAACAGCTTCACGTACTCACTAGAATTCATGGCGCTTAGAGTTTAGAACCATGCCACTATTCAGCCTTGCACAAACCTACAAATGGACAATCTCCAAGGGGTCTATCTGGTGCTTGACCTCGATATTTTATCAGGAAAAAAATAAGGTCGATGGACCCAAGATTGCGGCAAATGTATGACGGCTCAGGTCGCAAACAATGGTACTGGTACTGGGGCAAATTCATAACCAGGCAACTCTCCTCATGAGGGGGATAGAAGGATAGAGGGATAGATCGCTGAGCCCTTCGATGGTTGCATTGGTCTGGGGGGTGGAGAAGTAAACGAGTATCTCATTACAAAGGGAAATGGGAGTAACGGCAATGAGCGCTCTAGGATGGGGAAAAAGCAGAGGATACCACATGCCAGCTTGCTAGCTAGGAGTATAAATAGCATCAAACCTGAGAAGCATATTTCAATATGCCAATGAAGCATCCTAGATGTGAGTAATCTCTATGCCCAAATATTGGTCAATAAGAACAGCTATAATTTCTAACCATAGAATCTTGGAACTCAACTTTGAATGAGGACATGGCGTTCCGGCAGTTCATTGGTGCTGGGTTGTTGCTACGGGGGTCTAGGGAGGGAAGGAGAGAATGAGGTAATAAAGCTGCGATGAACACATCGAATATCAGCTGGCGGCAAAGTCCCTTCAACCAAGCCATCTGTCGACAACACGATACATAAACAGCACTTATTATCATTACCCCAACCGACTCAGCCACTCCACATTTCTTAATTCCAAACCACATGCACTACAGAATCCGCGCCGCCAACCTCCCATACTTGGCTTCTGGCCTGATCTACCGTCATCTTCCCATCTCGAGTCGTGAACGAACAAGGAATGAATATGCAATTTATTGAGGAAATATTCTGTTTCTCCCTGGGTGATAGGTTGTGAGTAGCGGCCACGTTTTTCTATATATGATATTCTGAGAAAGGGTTCGAGGTTGTTAGCGAAGCATGGTTAGTTTTACCGCATCGACAACTATGACGGTATATCACTCGCAGCCCTAAATCAGTTGGAGGATTATAGAAACGATATCTTGGGTTTAATTATGATGCTCCCTAGCCTACCTAGGTGGTGCAAAGCTTCTCCAGACTGGTGAAAATTTAAGGGGGGAAGGATTAAGAGAGAACCGTTTTATTAATTTATATATATTAATAAAACGTAGGAGCTCCCTATTTGGGCTATTCTATATTACTTCTACAGTAGTCAGGAGGCAAAAAATCTCGTACCCTGCGTAAAGCTGGAATCTATATCTTACTCGTGCATCTATATAAAATTCTCTAATATGCAGTGTTTGGGCATCTCGATGCACGGGTGTCAGGTACGAAAAATTTGGCCCAGAAGCAGAAGGCTGCGTAGACATGACATGGCATATAAATTGGCCGACTGCCACCGAGCTGTAGTCAGCTTAACAAGATCTGAATATGTAGTAGATAAGATTTTTGCAACATCAAAATGTAGCCCGGTTGGCTCAGTCGGTAGAGCGTGTGACTCTTAATAGCGCCATGGCGCAATAAGTAATCTCAAGGTCGCGAGTTCGACCCTCGCATCGGGCTTTAATTTTTTTTTAATTAAACGCTGGTTGGCTATATCTCTATTGTTGCATACAATAAACACTGTTTTGTAAGTAGTTTTTTTTTTTTACGTCTATACCGTATTCGACCAAGATTTTCTTGGAATCGACTGGTTTCAGAGCTTTTTGTATTTGGCAGTTGGGGCTTTCGCTGCCTTAGTAGGTCCCTATGGACAGTTGGTAGACTGTTTTTTGGTGATGGGAGGTATCACTGGGGACTAGATAGGTCCTCATAAGGAGAGAACCTTCCCTCAACAAGCATTTCCATATCCTCCTGAATCCTGTTTTTGGTAGGTGGTGTGTCCATGATGTCCTGGGCCCTCTCTTTTCATTTCCCCTTCCCTTACTCCTCTCCTTCCTCTCCTTCTTTCTCTCTATCGCCTCTTTCAAACCCTCCATTTTTTGCTGTATCTGCCACTTTCAGGATTGGCTCTGTTGCAGCTTCCATGGAGACCTCCACTCCTTTACTACTCGATCTTTGTACTAGACGTCTGCTCAGCATGAAACGCCATCTACTTCCTCACCTAGTAATGTATCAACTGGCATCCCTGACGAATATCCAGCGAAATTGGTTAAAAGTAAATCGAATTTTCTTAGCTCCGCCTCATTGTTGGTATTTACCCTATTTTCTTGTGCTTTCTCCATTCCTCCTGCTTCAGAAACATCCATACATTATCTTCCACTATACGTAGACTTTCTGTTAGTGGGAATTTGCTTTTCTCCAACTTCTCAGTCCTCTCCTCCAAGTCATCAACCTTTTCCTTTAGCTTTTCCCGCTCTTATTACAAAACTCAAGCCTACCGGAAATTAGAGCTAATCCGGAATGCTCCTCACAATCCTTCCCTCCCCAAAAACAAATCTGATCAATAACCATCTGTGCCTCTACCTCGTTTGTGCAATCCAGAATCGGTGCAGCGTGCTGTAATAGAAATTCTCCAACATATCTCCACTCGTCCGAAGACATCTTCGCCTTCTTCTCTCTTGCCTCTTTTATTGCCTCTTTATCCAAAAACTCCTCATCTGAATCTAAAAACCCCGATGGGGTTTCCTTTCGCAACCATGGGCCTATATCCGTTCTGGATCCGTCCTCAAGGGCTATAAAATCCTGTAATTGCCGATGTCGGAAACACTCTGGTTGTCGAGTTCGACCAAGTGGGCTCGTCCTGTACGTGTTGTCGGTACTGTTTTGGAAGTAGTCTTGGTGGTTCCTTTGCCATTTTATACTTGTATACGCAAGAGCTGATTACCAGACTACTACTAGTAGCTGATATTCATAGGAAGACCGTTCTGTCTTGGTGAGATGTCGACTCCTAGAACCAGGATCCCAGGCTTACTGTTTAAGCATCTTGAGAGATTTTTTGTTCACATAGGAAATTTTGATTTGAAACCGGCGGCGGGTCTCGACCAAGCGTGGGAATAACAATTAATACGATAAGATTTGTTATATTTCGGCGTTCAAATCAATACTTCCCAAAGTCGATATAAACCAAACCTGGTTTATCCTTGCCTGCGAAGTCGTATAGCATACGTGCTTTGTGATTAATTGAGGATGATAGAAATATACACCTTTTGTTTATAAGCCCTTTCTCTAACAAATAAAGTGCTTCAAAGACTCTGCACTACTCATTTACAAACTCCCAAGATTAATTACCATCGAAGATACCACTTATCCTGCCTCACTTGATCTTCTCGGCGCACCCCCAGTTTCTATCATCTACATCTCTCCACAGATGGCCTAAATAATCATGGGAATGACCCAAAGGCACCCACTTAACTTTATGCTATGATGTTGCCAGCATGAACTCAATGGGATGGGGATTCCTTCCACCTGTATAAAAAGCCATTGGGATACTGATTCTCATTATATCTTCAATGAATCTAGATACAGACATGCAAACAAGCAACTAAATCGATCAACAGAGACCAAAGGGTTTCGTCCGCAGTCCCAGCCATCTTTGAACTTCACATGGGTAGATTCTAATCATCATTGACAACATATAATCTGCTGGCGAGCTCAGCAGTTTCCAAAACAATCAGTAAGTAGTGCTATATTCTCGAATTCAATGACTAATAAGGGTACACAGGGTGTCAATTCAGACAATGTGAGGAAAAATTGCAAATCGGTCAGTCCCGGGAATTTCAGCTTTCAAAGAACAGGGATAGGCAGTAAATGCTCAACAGGCTACTTCCTGTATCAGTAGCGTTTATGGATGCCTCCGGAGACTACCTCCGGAGCCTAGTCTCGATCACCGGAGCCCCGCAATGAAGCTCATTGATATGACAGTCTAGTTGGCAAGATGCCCCCGCTTGCGCCAAGACAGTATACTCTGGTGTAGACTGTTGGGGTTAGGGCGTGGCAGCCCCTGCCACCCTGGAGCCTAGGCTAGAAGCGCAACCAAAGGGCAGAATTCGTTCTGACAAACAGTCGATGTCCTCGACAACCATGTCGACGTGATCCAACTCCCAGGTAAACGCATAGGCAACTTCTCCCAGTTCGAAAATTCATTATCTCGGCTGGGAACATGGTATGGCACATGTTATGATCGGAGATTGTAGAGTGGTTGCTTTTTGGGTTGTCTCGAAGGTTAAGGCTTTTCTTGCAATGCAGTCACTTCATCCCCGCTTGGCTGCCTCGCGCCACATGGCTTCGATATCTCCTTATATCAACATAGGTGACTTCCCTCTTCATTAACGGAAGACTGGCCATCTGCACCTGGAGTGCTCATCATATGGGACAAATTAGCAACGGTATGTGGGGTTTCACAAATTTACAGACTCACAGCCTTAATACTTGATTTGGCTTAGATATCGTAGCAGGGAGCCACGACCTGCGCAAAACCTACTTCTTTCAATTTCACCCTTCAGCTGATCGCGGTGGAAGTCCCAATTTAACAAAAGCCTGGAAGAGGATATCTTCAGTAACGACAGGAGCAAATAACATGAATTTTAGGGTTGAGAAATGGGATTGTACGGGTGCCAGATACCCACGTGTTTTTACGACATGTTAAATGAGCCACATTCCGAACCCTTACGAAATGTTGCTTTTGTCATTGAAGCTAGGATCGATAAGAGGTGGGAAATGCGGGCTGGGGTAATAGAGCTGCTGGCATCCAGAACGCTCCACTTTCTTGATTTCGGAAAAAAGAATTCTATCGACATATCCGCATATGGATAGGTTCATGCTACATTCCGGAGAACCCACCAATGTATGGGCAGCAACAAAGTCATATCATTTTGCACTGGGCCCCAGACAGATGAAGCGCCGCGTGGATTCCAGAGGGAAGTGTCTTCGATGTAGGTACGTACTATATATTTCTCCAGAAGATCAAGTTGCGTTGAGGCTCATCTCACGGAGCTGTCCGTAACCGAGTTATTCAATATTCAATGCTCCTATACAGTTGCATGTATAAGAATTCCACTCCTCATGTTTCTGATTGGCATTGATTTTAGTTACCAAAAGAGAATCTCTTCTGAGAGGGGATAATCATCGTTGTCGCTTGCTGAAATCGGGGTTGCCGAGTCGGTTTTAGTACCAGGGTCTGTGTTATTGGATCTAATAATGAGCATGATGGTGCTCATGCAATCTTTGCGAGCTTTTCGCTCCAATAGAATGTAAAACCACACAAGGCAAGGGACACAGGATAGTGTCGTATATATTTCGATAAGGCAGCAAATGAAAGCATAGGGATATTAGGTACTGTACTTTGTACTGAGCGCAGTCGATTTGTTTATACACTCAAAACCACAAACATATACAACGAGGTACAAAGAGGCAGAACAAGGTTTGGGACCATGGTTTCATTTTTTCTCTGCTTGTTTTACCTATATTTGGCAAACGTAGCTAACCGCCGCAAGGCTAGTATTCTCCGGGAGGGAGGTATATTCATCTTGGAATTCTGACTGCAGTTGCAGAAAATGAGGATGGGCTCAACGTCAGGGACCACGCTTTCACTCCTGGATGGCTCACAGGCCACGTTACCATCGTATCAGAACAGGGAATATTCTGGAATGAAGGTTTAGATGGCTCTATGGGTCATATATCACATCCACTGACCAATTCACTCATCGAGTAAATTTGCTTTGAAGTAATGCCTGGGTTCATATTGCTCTAACTCCATGCCAACAGTTTCTGCTTAAGCCGGAGATGGGACAAGTGTTCACTTCAGTCATCGAGGGATAATTTAAACTGTTTGACGCATCAGGATATCTAGTTCTCGCCGGTTTACAGTTTCTTCCAAAATTGGCCTAGACATGGTAACATAATGCACGAGGGTCTGGATTCTCGGCTCTGGCTGTGCTTTTTAAGACTCGGACTCGCTTGCACAGGAAGTCACATGTCATCAAAAACAGCTATTACCGAGTCAGCATCATAGGCCTACTTAGTAGGGTGCCATGGCTAGGTGCTTTATCCCACTCACAGAAGCTATCCCTGCCGTGATGTTGGAATACCTTCACGTTGTTCTTAAGCTACATATCAAAGCAAATATACAATTCTACTAATACTAATGTACGTTGAGTTCAGGTATAAACTCTCAACTGGCGGATAAGATGTGAGAAGGACGTTGCGGATTCCTTCAGAGGTTAATATGATAGGGCTACGACTGGACTAGATACCACCGCCAATCTGATAGCTCTAGCTTTGTAGCAGCAGGGCGTACTTTGGCCAATCAAGATCTTTGAGGCCATTGAGAAACAAGGAATACAGTGATAGGTGGAGTACATTACAGTATCCAGTCATTCTCCCATTGAGTCTTTTGATACAAAACAAGGTAAGCTTGGAATCCCCTGAAGAGTTTGCCAGCGCAAAATTATAAGAATTCCCCCACTGCCTTTACCTAGCGGTATCTCAGGTCCGTGAAATTTACACAACATAGTCTCTAGTTCACAGTGGGTTGTACCGGTAAGCCCCATCCTACGAGTACAAGATACACTGCGCCCCAAGCGATATAAATGTACACTCTTTCTCGGGGCACATTTTTTACT